ATCAATTTAATGTCTAGTATGTAGTTACATTGTGGAACTTATGAAAATACACTAAAGAATGAATGAAAACAAATTACCCTAGTGTTAAAAGAGTGGGACTTGTGGTTCTGTGATAAATATTTCCAGTGACAGCATCATCCACAGATTCAAAAAATATATCTCAAACAACTAAAATGGAAGTGAAGATGATATGCTATGGAAAACTATTAAGTTTTCCATGACTTAAGATTCACTTGGAAGTATTAAATTAAAATGGTTTTATATAAAATTTAGATGAAAAAGTTGATATATTATTTTAGACAATATGTGTTTTAAATATGCATGTAGTACTTAATCAATTAACAAATTAAATAATGTCAACAGACACATAACTACTTAATTACATTCCTAAAAGTCTACATACTTAAGTTGGCCCAAATCCTTTTTTTGGATCTTCTCGTTAGGGAAACAGGAGATTGCCTTATAATAAAGGCCATCATGTATTCAAACATATGTCTTATTTGCAGCGTTGGCTCTGAGAAAGGTTAAGGGTGTTTTAATGAAGCATATTTTTATTTAACTGAAAACCAGAAACTGTGCGTAGGGGTGTGGCAAATGCTGGCAGTCAACAGGAAAAATAGCAAACATTTATTGGGAAAAATTCAGGGTACAAAGAAAAGTGACAAGTAGTAACAGTCCCAATCAAGCTGGTAATTTGCATCACTGGGCCCATTCCACCACATTATGCTTCTCTCAGAAATGGCCCACTTGCAGGGATAAGTTCCTATTTCTGTCTTTCACTCACTGCACTTTTGATCATGACTCCTGCTGGCCAGGTATGTGTTCATTCACATTTCACTCAATAGTTAGTGAGTAACTACTCTGTACTAGGTACTGTGCTTGGTACTGAAAGTACAAAGATGGTAAGAAGTATGATCTGAATGTTTGTATCCCCCCAAAATTCACAGGTTGAAATCCTAACCCCCAAGGTGATGGTATCAGGAAGTAGGGCCTTTAGGGGGTGATTAGGTCATCAAGGCAGAACCATCAAGAATGGGATTAGGGCCCTTGTCAAAGAGGCCCAAGAGAAACCTCTTCCATCACATGAGGTTGTGGTGAAAAGATGACCATCTATGAACCAGAAAGTGGGCCCTCGCCAGACACTAGATCTGCTGGTACCTTGATCTTGGACTTCCCAGACTCTAGAATTGTGACAAATAAATTCGTTGTTCATAAGCCACATAGTTTATGATATTTTGTTATAGCAGCTCAAACTGACCAAGACAGTAAGATGCCACTTTATCCAAAGCCCAGTGTAATGTTTAATGAGCAGCTTGATGTGGAAGGACAGAAGGGAAAGAGGAAGAGGAAGATGTCAGTCCACGCTCTCAAGGAGTTCCTGGCCTAATGGACGTCCCAGTGCTTGTGAAAAAGGTATAAACTTGTGCCATCCTGGACTGCCAGTTTTCTCAAATAGCTACAGACCCTGCTGACCGACCTTGCTTTTTTTTTTTTTAATAGAATCTTTCATGCCTATTATCTTGCTTTTCCAAAGAAATCTCTTCAGTATTCTCCAATCATTAGACTGCATTCACTCCCATTTTCCCTACTTTTGAGCTTTCTTACTATTTGATGCCATTTTTTGTTTTTGTTTTTGGTCTGCCTGCTCTTGCATGTGGTTCCAACTTTCTCGAGACTGGCTGGCTCGCTCCATTAAGTAATTTGTGGATCTGCCAGATAATAACATTGGAGTGATTCCTGCCAAATGTCTCCCTCACATTTCAGTAATCAAAAATACTAAGATCTGGGTTTTACTTAAATCAGCAGTTCTCAAACACGGTCCTGGGATAAGCATTATTATTGTCAGTAACTTGTCAGAAATGCAAATTCACAGGCCCGACCTCAGACTTACTGAATCGAAAACTCCAGGGACAATCTATTTATTTTTCAATAAGCCTGCTAGGTGATTCAAATGCCCATTTAAGTGTGATGCCTGTTCCAGTCTAACACCCTAATGCTGGTGCCTTCCTTCCCATGGCAAGGCTGGTTTTATATTTCTACATCTTGCAAGCAGCCAGCCCTCTACTTCCTTTTGTCTGGGGTCAAGGGAGGGGGGTCATCCCTTTTCTTGCTGCCACTTCAGTCTTCCAGAGGTAGTGCAATTGTTAGGGCCTTAGGGATCC